TACAATAACCCAACAACCACTATTCATAAATTTTAATAGATTTTTATAATTTTAATTCATATTTCAACTATCTTAATTATTATGAATTTATTAACATTGTAACGGTTAATAATGTCTTTTAGTGTTATGACGTCTTAATAACTATTTATAAATCCTCGTAATATCAATGAGAAATAATATTAGATTTACACCCATTGATCTATAAATGTTGCTGCAGTTTGGTATAATTTATACGCTGTCAACTCGAAGCAGTTTTTCGATTGATATCGTGATTGACATATTTTATCGTCTCAAGTCGATCTTCCGCACGACATTTGACATCACAAAATACCAACAATTTTTCAAACAGTAAAACAAAACGTTTCTATAAATCAAAACATCTTCGAAAATCCATCAATTTAAAAGAGGAAGGATCAACCAGCAAGATGAAGCATAATTACTTTTGTCGAAAAAATACAACAAAAACTTTATCACGCATTTAACAACTACATACCTTTTCATAACAATGCGATTAATAACTTTATTATATCACGATATAACACGCTGATATAGGCTTGATATGATGGCGACAATATACACTTAATTATCAATAGTATCTCTTATACACGTCTCACACGCAACCATATATTTATATATGTGTATGTATTTATATATTTATATTCAATTAAAGACAGTTATTCTTGTTTTTATATCATATTTACACTTTTATAAATCTTTTACGATTCTTAGGCTTTGTTCTTCAAACGAAAATTTTGCAAAATTCCTTGTTTTATATGACTTTACTATAAACAAAAAGTGATATGGATCTATCCCACTTTAAGATTCCTCAGCTCGCTGGATAGATTTTTATACATAATTTCTCGTGAACTTTCTTGAATATCATATGGTTCGAAATTTCAAAAATAATTAAAAACATTTCGGTGCTCGTTGGCCTCTATCGTTAATAAAAATTTTACAAATGTTTTATTGCTTTTAATGCATAAGATATAAATGCAACCCGAAATTTCTAATGCTTTACTTACTTGATTGAATGCAACTAATAGAAAACGTGATACCACGGATTTCAATATTTAAAGGTTGCCTTGATACAACTGATACGCAATTACATCATAATACATGGGAAAGAAACATAAAAACAGGACCGTGTCATGTATACATCATAATAAAGTCATATACACATCAAGAGTAAAGTATAACACGTTTCTGAATGATGTTGAAATTTTTCTTGTGCAATGCAAAAATTTTCGTTTTCCATCGAATTGGTTTTCATTCATAGAGACGAACTTGCAAATAAACGAACCAACAGTCATTATTGTCATCGTGAGAACAAATCGACACCTTTCCCGTGGTGTATAATAAAATTTACAAATTCATTCCTCCGATTAAATAATTCTCATATGATCCGAAACATTTTCATCGTGATCTTGGGCACCAATAGATGTAATACGACAGTCTTGACAAGCCATTACAATATGTTAATTATCCCCCTATATATTATATGTACGTACGTGCCAGATCCATACTTGTAAAGATGCATTAAACACACTAGTCGTGTATATTGCTTGCTTAAACCACACTCGAATACAAATATTTTTCACTCCAAACATCGCAATTTACTTTCAACTATATATGAGTTCATATTTATAAGGTATTTATATTTAATTAATGTTTACATAATTCATATAAATTTGTATACGTATATACGCTATACAATGACGATGAGCTTTGGACCCGTGATCAGTAAATTCAAAAAATATCATCCCTCTCGTGAATTGCAGCAAATATATATATGTACTCAATGTTGGCCAATTATTTATACTCTAATCGTCAATTGTTACTTGAATTTCGCCAAACTAATCGCACTGTCCGATTAGATTTATTCTTCAACCCCAAAGAATTCGAAATTTTTTTTTCCTGTGTCTGTGAGTGCATTCCTAAAACTATATATATGTTTTATCGAAAAATCAACAATCCAATTCTGACAAGAACTTTAATTATTATTCGATGTGACGTATTTTTCAATTGTGCACTTGTGTATACGTGAACTAATTTAGCATTGAGACAGTGTCATGCGCACATAACTAACATGTCTATTTTAACGTGTCATTGTTGAAGGTTTTATCATCGAGGGGCGATTTTGTGCGCAAATCACTAAAGACGCGCTATTGCGTTATACGGTTATATTCATACGATTTCTGTTGTGTTAAAATTTCATTGGAAACGCAAAATGAGCTTGTAACGTACATTTTCATTCGTACATTGACGACATGAATACGTTACGTTTGATATGGTGATTGAATTATATTTAGTTTAGTTTATATTTATGAATACAAGTGTAAACTTTCTTTAATGGTGTTGAAAAATTCAATATAAAACAAACTTATCATTAGCGCAAATCTTTCAATACAGGAGATAAGCCTTTAAATTAAAATAGAGTTAAAACGTCTCTCTTTTTTTTTTTTTTTTTTTTTTTTTTTTTTTTTTTTTAATCAATCATATTTTATGTACCTATGTTAGAGAAATCATACGCATTTTAGGATTCATTCTACTCCTGCAGCCACAATAATAATTTTTTTTTTTTTTACGTCACTTGTGATTTAACCAACTTTTTCACATGCGTATGAATTTATTTTTATTTTTGGACCACGTCATCAAATTTTTTTCATCTTACCATAAAATACAATAAAATTAATGATTCAACGCACCCCACAAAATTGATGAACAATTATTTTTTAAACAATGAAATGTCTCAAAATCATAAATATTCATAAATTGATCACAGGGCATTCCTTAGCCTGAAGATTATAATAATTATTATCCATACCCGCAATATACGTGTGTATGTTACACACAAATATGTAGATGTTCTGACAGCACGAATGGAGTTTTCATATACATTCGATCACATGTACAATGTTTTAAATTTATCAATTCGGTTACAATAATAGCTTTGTCGCTTTATCATAAGTATTTTTCTTCTAATTGATCTTGAAAAAATTGAATCAGCCTTTTGTTGCTTATTCGATAATGTCACGACTTTGAATGACAACACGATACAATAACCCAACAACCATTTCCCAAACGATAATTAGTATTATTAGTATTATTATTATTTTTTTTTTTCCAAGTTATATATTTACTCATTCATTCAACGAAAATATTAGAAAAATGTACAGTTATCTCGGCAAAGATACGAAACACAAATGCCAAAATACACTTTATAAATAATACGAGAGTTGATAAATTTGTTGTTGCTTAGACACTCTAGCTTTTCTAAGATTATGAATTATCTTACAAATGATATGTGCACACCGATAAGAACAGTTTCCAGCAACATCGTTTATTTAACAAGTTGGAGTATGCATTTCAAAATTACCCATAATAATGTGGTTAAATCCGGATATCGAGTATTTTCTTTCAACGACGGGAGGTCCTGCTTTTTTCAAGAATCCAAGATTTTAGTCAAATTATTTCAAGAAACTCGTTTGAAGTATACATTTGAAATATCAACATTGAGAAAGTTTAACGAGTAAATTTTTGTGTCATTCGAAAACAACTGTATCCGGATCGATACGTTTTGAATGCAATCTTGGCATATTTATTCGTAGTAAGTACTGTTACGTGTATCAGCGATTTCAGTCTTACGAAAAGCAAGTGAGAGTGAAAGTGATGAAAATTATTATTTTGCCAATAGTGCATTTTGATATAAAACAAAATTGATCTATTCATAGAAATCGGAAGGATTACACACGCGATCAAGGTACTCTCATTTGACTTTGACTTTTACGACTGAAGCGAGACTTTATAGCAACATGAAAGAACTTTAAAGACTGCACATTAGCTTTCGTACAAGTTTTCACAATGCAACGGCTTTAATTTCCTCGGTGATGAGCTATCTCGCTGAGTTGGCCATTTTTCGTTTTATTATTTTTTTGTTTGGTAATACTTTTGTATTGTTTTTGTTTAAAAAAAATACCTCGTAACGCTCAAACCTAATAATTTACTCCGTCTCGGCGCTTTATTTTTATTTTTTTTTTATTTTTTTTTTTTTTTTTTTTTTTTAAGATCAAACTTACAATCGAGAAAAATCTTACCTTCAGAGATCGTGCAGTTTTTTATCATTACTGAAAATACTATTATCAAAGATACTCGTAAAATTTAATGTTCAATTCATTAACGTTTATTATTCATTAAAAAATCGTCATAAACTATTATATAGAATCGAGGATTTTTCAACAATTATATTAATCATAAGTTTTTTCATGTACATCATTAATGCGATTGTGTGCGTTTATATACAAGCGGTAAAGAATGAATAAAAAAAATAGGTGATGTTTCAACTTGGAATCGTTCAACCGATATACAATACAACGAACAGTAACAATTTTCCCTATGCACCTTCAGTTATTATTTTCTCTTGCTCTGCTCGACGAACAAAACAATATACATTTTATATATTATATTATCAGTTTTCTATAGCCTTTCGTGTACTTTTTGCTGATTATCAATAATACAAATGATTATCAATGTTTATATATTCGAATCTACTCAAAACTGTGGTCCAAATCATTATATGCGTGTATAATTTCTCGTGATGATGTAGGTATAGCTATAAGTATGTGTATCCATTGGATAATTTGTTATCTTTTGGTCTTTTCACGTCGACTCGAGCCTGTTTCTTGCCTCCCAGTCGATGTTTGGCCGCGCGGAGTGTGCTCTCGATCAGTATATTATTATTATTATTATTATAATTTTTTTTTTTATAGATAGCTAAATTAATATTTATAAAAAATAAGATGCGTAACGTTGAAAGTTTTTCCCAGCAAGACGAGCACTTAGAACAAACTTTTCAAGAAGCCGGCGGGACCTGCCTGCTCAAACGAAATGCAAAAGACAAAGTTTTAATCGGGAATAAAAACACACGATAAACCAAACACATTTCGATACTGACCTCTTGTTGCTGTGCAGCTGCAGCTTTAATCTTTGCTTGTGCGGCTTTTAGTGCTCTAAAAAAGAAAAAGAAAAAAAAAAAAAAAAAAATTAGATAATCAGTTCAAGGAGCAAATGATTGTTTTTTTCACGCACAAGTCAACACTTACTCTTGAAGATCTCGGATCTGCTTTTCCTTGGAATTTTGCTCCTCCTGCGACATCTGAACGAGCTGCAGTAATCTTTCCGTCTCCTGCGCGCTACGCTTGGCCTCTTCCTTGGCGGCCTCGCGTTCTCTCTCGGCATTTTCCAGAGCTTTTTGCAACTCGGCCAATCTTTTGTCCGGAGCACCGCCGCTCTGCAAGCGATAATTACAATTGTTGTTTGATTGTTTGGAATATTCATGAGGAAAAAAAAAAAAAAAAAAACCTTCTGGAGTTGCTGTTCCAGTTGGTCCATCTTAGCCTTTCTCTTCTTGAACTCTTGGTCGATCATCTGGAACTGCCTCTCCTTCTCATCGAGGGCCCTAGCCTTAGCGTCGAGGCTCTTGGCCTTTTCTTCGATCTGCTGTCTGTGCTGTTCAAACTGTCGCCTCTGCTCGTCTAGCTGCCGGCGCTCCTGACTCGTGTCCGCGCTACCCCCGGCGGCAGCTCCCTGCTGTAATTTGTTGGTCGCGTCATGAAGAGCAACCTGTGGTACATGCGAAATCGACACACACATACGACGATATTCATGCGGCTAACGACATAAATTTTTTTATTACCTATTATTATATAGAATAGTTATAACGATACACGTTGGGGACTGTATGGGTGGGTGATCCATCGTAACTGACTAACTCATTGAAATTTCTTATTTTTTCAAAAGGTCCTAACTGGGCTTCAACGAAAGCTCACATGAAGTCTTATTGACTAAAAAAAACTTTGTTCTATACATAATGTCACCATATCTTATTTTCAGCGATTTTCATTGCTCTTCTTTCGACGGCTGTAACTTTGATTGGTGGCTCTAAAATATTTTTTTTTCTTTTTCAATCGACGGGTCTTGATCTCAGCTTTTATAGCCAGGCTAGAAACATTTTCACTTTTGCAAAATATATCTCATATTTTTTGACTAAGAACTTTGTAGTGGAGTATTTAGAATGAAAATACCATGAAAAAAAAAAAAAAAAATGTTTTCAATTAATTTTTTTTAGATCGATTTTTAAAGTAATTTTGAGTCAGTTACGACGGAATCCGTAAGTCCGCGTGTTGCAGATGATACAATACAAATACAATACGAGGATGGATTTTTTTTAAAGGGAAGGTAGCAGTAAAAATAGCGACGAGTAAATGTATAACATTATTGATGCAGAGAAGAAGGGAGGGAAATGGCCAACGAACCTGATTCTGTTGTAACTCCTGACAAAGCATCTCAATTTGGGCCTGAAATCTCTCCCTTTCCACGGACGCTTGGGCCACCTCCTCCCTAGCCGATTCGAGTTCTTTTTTCAAGCGATTGATTTCCCCTGGGTTCTGCGTGGGCATTTGCTGCTGTTGAATCTGTTGTATTTGCTGCTGGTGGGCATGGATTTGCCGCTCAGCCGCTTGAAGGCGTTTCTCGGCTGCGTCGGCTCGCTGCTTCTCCGCCTCTAATTGCCTCTGCCACTGCTCCTGCTGCCGGTGGAACTCGTCCTGCTGGGGCTGCTGGGGCTGCTGCTGCAACTGAAGGCGCAACCGGCGCACCTCCTCGCGCTGCTTCTCTATCTCCGCGTCCAAGTTCATCAGCATGTCCTGCGACTTTTCCAACTGTATGACCAACTGATCTCTCTCTATCAGCAGAGACTTTGTCTCGGCCTCGAGCTTCTCTTTGGCCTTTTGTATTGTCTCCGCGTGCTTCTCTCTGTTCGTGTGGATGGCTGCCATCTTGTCGCGGTCGCGAATGGCAATCTGCAGGTCGTTCTCCAGTCTCTCGCGCAGACGCTCCCAATCGAGCCGGACGCGTTCGTATTCCGCTTTCTATGGCATGGAATTAAAACAATTTTTATCAGCAATCATTTTTTTTTTTTTTTTTTTCATCATCATCATTTTGATTTGAATTGCATTCGCGTGATGGACTTTTGTGACATTGAAATGATTGCAGTTGGAATGAATGAAACCAAGCGCCAAATGATCGAAAGCTCATTGATTTGTTGTCTTGAAAATGTTGTAGTTAGGTACATGTTGTTTACTAGTTAGCTGCAAATAAGCCTTACCTCCTCGACGAGCCGCTGGTTCTCCTTTTTGATGAGCTCCGCCACCTCGGCTGCCTTGCTTAACCCGAGCTGGGCCTTTTGTAGTTCTTTAGCTAAATGACCGGCTTCTAGTTCGACCTATAAATCAATTGGGGAGTTCAATTTGGACGAACACCAAGATCGCCATCTTTTTAGACATTCAAGTTATTTTAACGTAACCAATTATTATTTCGGAGTTTTCAATTCGTTAACTTCCTAATTTATATCAAATGTATATTGTATAAAGTAATTCCTGCCGAAAAGTAACTCAAAAATCCGTTTGTGACTTTTAAAGTAACTCGATTTTTACTCTAAGCTCATAAATCGAATTCGTGTTAAAACAAAATTTTTCAAACTCTGAGTAAAGTATATTTCTCTTAGAAATTTTCGTCTCAAAATGTTTTTTAATAATTTATATCGAAATTTGAATCGAGAGAGGGAGGGTTATTTCAGGGTTTGAAAGTAAATTAATACTTTCTTCAAGAAAAATCTAATATAGCTGTCCAAGCGTCATGCCGGCTTTACATGAATAATTGAAAAAATAATATTGAATAAATATTGGTGTAGATATTTCGAAAACAATATAACTACGTTGTGCCACACGAAGTATAAAATCCACTAATGAGAGAGGGTATTCCTTTTTTTAGCGAATATTTCAAAAGATTAAATCAGGTTTTACCTGATCGCGGGCAGTTATGGCCTTCTCCAAGCTCGCCCGCAGCTCAGTTTCGACGCTGTTATCGGATCTGCTCTTGCCCGTGGTCTCCTCCTTGAGCCGCATGATCTCGACGCGAAGCTTCTCGTTGTCTGTTTCGAGATCCTCGAGACGCTCTTTCGTTCGCTCGAGCTAATAATAAAAGGCTCCAGTTGAGTGGCATTGTTCTTCTTAGGGTATGGTAATTTATGAAAAATTCCACCCTCGTAACACCAGCTTACGCATTTTTCTTATGCTTCGCAAAATTTTGTTTTGTTTTCCACACACGCGAAAAAGCGATGATTTCGTTTTGATCATTTCTATGTAACATTTTTTATATTATTCGATGATTACCTGTAGTTGGGTTTTTTCGAGCTCCTGATTCCGCGCCGAGGTGGAGCTGGTGCTCAACCGGCTCTCCGAGCGCGTCTCCAAGTCACGCAGGCGTTCCATATCCTGACTTGACTTTGACAGTCTTTCACGAAGCCGCTCGCAGTCGCGCTCGTATTCCTCCTTCTGTGGGTCAAATAAAATTAGTCGTTAATATTACGATTGTGCCATCTATACGACTTGTTTCAATGAAAATCATGTAACGAGTAAATCAAAATTCGCACGCGAGGAACACCAGAGTATAATAAACAGATATCAGTGAACCATCCGGAGGAAGATAGACTAGCTGTTGAGTGTGAGAGAATTCACCCAGACTCAAGGTTTCTCCAATTGTTATAGCTGGAAGCTTGAATCACGAAAAAATATAGGAAACGCGGTTCCTCCTCCTCTAGCTTTGGCTATTGGACTCGAAATAAGACAGAGTTTGAAACAAGCACGGGTTAGTTCCAATCTCTTGTGCCAAAATTCATACAAAATTTTGTGTACTGTCTTTCCGGTGTTCTTCATTAACGAGAAATCGAGACTCGTCTACACACCTGTTTGTGCTCGCGCTCCAGCAGTCGTTCCATCCTCGTGACCTCGTCGCGCAGCTTCTCGTTGCTGGCTTTGAGCCAATCCTGCCCGTCTTTGAACTCCCGGAGCTCTTCGCGCGCGTTGTCGAGCATGATCTGCAGCTCGTGACAGCGCTGCTCCAGCTCCTTTTTATTTCTATGAAAAAAAAAAAAAAAAAAAAAAGTTAGAGTTTAACCAACAACAGGCCGTAACAGCTTATTGCGCTCCACGTACCTGACGCCCTCCTCGCGCGTGCTCTCCATATCCTGGCGCTGCCGGTCCTTGCTCTGCGCGCGCTGAACCTGGTAGCTCAGGCGTTCGTTGTCTGCCAGTATGCGCTCGTGTTGCTCCTGCACTCGAGCCAATTTCTCCTTCAAAATCATCAGCTCCGTCCGTGCGTCGTCCCTCTCCAGCTGCCAACGGACGGATTTTTCCATTATCATTCGTGTTTGTAACTTTGATGTACATTAGGTTTTTTTTTTTTTTTTTTTACAAAATATGCTCACCGTCAACTTTTGTTGGGACGCTTGGTTCTTTTCCCAACGGTCCTTCAAGATGCCCAGCTCGGTGAGGGCGTCGTCTTTCTCGAGCTTTGAAAAATTGAAATCGAATGAAAATCCAAAAAGTTTTAAGACCTCAACAACGATGAAACATGCAGTATTGAACCGGTTTATTGATATTTTTTTTTTTTTTTTTTTTTTTTTTTCAATTCTCGCTGAAGAAGCAACGTGACCTGTCTTAAATAAACAATGAACAACATGATGCTTACTGCCACTTTCTGGTGGGCCGCGTGAGCCTTTTCCCACCGATCCTTCAAAATTGCCAGTTCGGCAAGCGCGTCATCTCTCTCGTTCTGCAATGGACGCGTTTCATCAGTGATTCATCTCCCCTCAAACGTTAATTAAACAATTTATATGCTTACGGCAACTTTCTGTTGGGCTGCGTGAGCTTTTTCTAAGCGTTCCTTTACGAGTTGCAGCTCGTCGTCCTTCTCGTTCCTCTCCCTCTGAAGCAGATTCTGCTGCACTTCTAGCCTCTCTTTCGCGGCCTGCAGCTCATCGATCTCCTTCTGCATTCTCGTTACCTGGCCCTACGATTATGCGGGTCGAGTGAATATTAGAATTCAATACTTCAGAAAAATTTCTTTCGTAATATTTTTTTTTACCCAACATACAAAACCAAAGACATGAGGATCAAGTTTTTAATAAACAAGCTCTCTTTTGACTCATGTTAAATTTAATTAAAATGGTTGCTAGTTTGTAAATTTTTACGTTATTTTTTTAATTTAATTTCAAAAAATGTAATTATGCTTACGGCAACTTTCAGATGGGCCGCGTGGGCAGTTTCCCACCGATCCTTCACAATTGCCAGTTCGGAAAGTGCTTCATTTCTCTCTTTCTGCAATTGACGTGTGTTTCATTGGTAATTCAGTCTCCCTTCGAACGGTACAATAACTCGTTAAAATTATGTACTTACGATAACTTTCTGTTGGGCTGCGTGAGCTTTTTCCAAACGGTCCTTTACGAGATGTAGCTCGTCGTCCTTCTCGTTCCTCTCCCTCTGAAGCATGTTCTGCTGCACATCCAGCCTCTCTTTCGCGGCCTGCAGCTCATCGATCTCCTTTTGCATTCTCGATATCTGCCCCTACGAGTATGCGGGTCGCGTCAATTTTAGATTTGTAGAGTCAGAAAATTTTTTTTCACTCGCAAGTTTTCTTTGGTAACGAATTTTTTATCTCAAGGCTACTGTTCGAGTTTTTTCGCCAAAGTCGTTGTTTTTTAGCTAATCGCGAACGAAATTGTTTGAAATTTTTTACGCTTTGTCGAATGTTTTGTATCTGATTGTTAGTTAATCAGATATAGTTGATGAGCGTATCTGTAGACTTTAACGAACAAAAGGGTGCGAGGAAGTCTTAGATTGGCAAAACTTTGAGCAACAAATTTCGACCATCATTGGCTACAAAATAGAGATTTATATCGAAAATACTCATTGAAATATAGAAGTTTTATTTTTTACCAGCTATGCTAGACGAGTTTCGCGCGATCTAAATACTTGAAAATATTATCTAAATACTAATAAGCTTACTTGAGCTTTATTGTACTTGTCCTCGAGGCAATCCAATTCCAGATTTATACTGTCCCTCTCTTGCTCTATCCTAGTTATCTTTCCGAGGGTCTTGTCAAGTTGGCCCTGCATCCTTTCGTAATCATAGCTGTCCTTCTCTTTTTCTAACTGCATCTGCGTTGAAATGAACCGATTGATAAAATAAATAAAAAATTTATAGTAAAATGAAGCAATTATAGAAGCAGTCGACCAACCCTTCGCACTTCCATCTGCGACTTTTCTAATTTGTCTTCGAGGGTACTCTGGGCCCGTTGGTATTCGTCTCGCAAACTGTCTTGCTCACTCTGCGCGTTCTCAAGTCTCGCTTTTAGTCTATAGACCTCCCCTTGGCTCTTTTCAACCTTTACGCGTACACAATTATTTTTTTATTGATTAATTTACTTAATTTTTTTATTCAAATCAACGGGGCCTTTTTATCCTCGGCCATCTGAGCAAAAGAAATTAAAAATCCCTCTCATAAAATAAAAGAAAAAAAAATAAATAAATGAAACCGTACACTTTTATCAGTTGCATTAAGTGCACTATAATATAGCTGTCCAAGCGTCATGCCGGCTTTACATGAATAATTGAAAAAATAATATTGAATAAATATTGGTGTAGATATTTCGAAAACAATATAACTACGTTGTGCCACACGAAGTATAAAATCCACTAATGAGAGAGGGTATTCCTTTTTTTAGCGAATATTTCAAAAGATTAAATCAGGTTTTACCTGATCGCGGGCAGTTATGGCCTTCTCCAAGCTCGCCCGCAGCTCAGTTTCGACGCTGTTATCGGATCTGCTCTTGCCCGTGGTCTCCTCCTTGAGCCGCATGATCTCGACGCGAAGCTTCTCGTTGTCTGTTTCGAGATCCTCGAGACGCTCTTTCGTTCGCTCGAGCTAATAATAAAAGGCTCCAGTTGAGTGGCATTGTTCTTCTTAGGGTATGGTAATTTATGAAAAATTCCACCCTCGTAACACCAGCTTACGCATTTTTCTTATGCTTCGCAAAATTTTGTTTTGTTTTCCACACACGCGAAAAAGCGATGATTTCGTTTTGATCATTTCTATGTAACATTTTTTATATTATTCGATGATTACCTGTAGTTGGGTTTTTTCGAGCTCCTGATTCCGCGCCGAGGTGGAGCTGGTGCTCAACCGGCTCTCCGAGCGCGTCTCCAAGTCACGCAGGCGTTCCATATCCTGACTTGACTTTGACAGTCTTTCACGAAGCCGCTCGCAGTCGCGCTCGTATTCCTCCTTCTGTGGGTCAAATAAAATTAGTCGTTAATATTACGATTGTGCCATCTATACGACTTGTTTCAATGAAAATCATGTAACGAGTAAATCAAAATTCGCACGCGAGGAACACCAGAGTATAATAAACAGATATCAGTGAACCATCCGGAGGAAGATAGACTAGCTGTTGAGTGTGAGAGAATTCACCCAGACTCAAGGTTTCTCCAATTGTTATAGCTGGAAGCTTGAATCACGAAAAAATATAGGAAACGCGGTTCCTCCTCCTCTAGCTTTGGCTATTGGACTCGAAATAAGACAGAGTTTGAAACAAGCACGGGTTAGTTCCAATCTCTTGTGCCAAAATTCATACAAAATTTTGTGTACTGTCTTTCCGGTGTTCTTCATTAACGAGAAATCGAGACTCGTCTACACACCTGTTTGTGCTCGCGCTCCAGCAGTCGTTCCATCCTCGTGACCTCGTCGCGCAGCTTCTCGTTGCTGGCTTTGAGCCAATCCTGCCCGTCTTTGAACTCCCGGAGCTCTTCGCGCGCGTTGTCGAGCATGATCTGCAGCTCGTGACAGCGCTGCTCCAGCTCCTTTTTATTTCTATGAAAAAAAAAAAAAAAAAAAAAAGTTAGAGTTTAACCAACAACAGGCCGTAACAGCTTATTGCGCTCCACGTACCTGACGCCCTCCTCGCGCGTGCTCTCCATATCCTGGCGCTGCCGGTCCTTGCTCTGCGCGCGCTGAACCTGGTAGCTCAGGCGTTCGTTGTCTGCCAGTATGCGCTCGTGTTGCTCCTGCACTCGAGCCAATTTCTCCTTCAAAATCATCAGCTCCGTCCGTGCGTCGTCCCTCTCCAGCTGCCAACGGACGGATTTTTCCATTATCATTCGTGTTTGTAACTTTGATGTACATTAGGTTTTTTTTTTTTTTTTTTTTTTTACAAAATATGCTCACCGTCAACTTTTGTTGGGACGCTTGGTTCTTTTCCCAACGGTCCTTCAAGATGCCCAGCTCGGTGAGGGCGTCGTCTTTCTCGAGCTTTGAAAAATTGAAATCGAATGAAAATCCAAAAAGTTTTAAGACCTCAACAACGATGAAACATGCAGTATTGAACCGGTTTATTGATATTTTTTTTTTTTTTTTTTTTTTTTTTTTTTTTTTTTTTTTTTTTTTTTTTTT